ACAAATGTTTGGTTTATTTTTCTAGTTTTTATTACAAAACCAATTTGAAACAGTAATAAGTCAACAAATAACCTAAAGTGCTACAAACTTACAATCTAATTATACCAAAGGATTATTGGAATCATTTTGTGATTGTGATAAATTTATAGAACAATGTACTTGCTTGTACTTGCTTTGCATCCCTTGTATCTTTTTAGCAATATCAATTTTGCTGGAAATTGACTCTTCTATATAACCTTCTGCCACGGTAGATGACTTCCATCCACTGTGGCGTTTGAGTGTTGTAATATCCCCTCCAGCATTGGCCAAGAAAGTTGAAGATGCGCGACGCAAGCCATGCCCTGTATATAAATTAGAATTTGTCAAGCCCAAAAATCGCGCAACGACATTAGGGATTTTTGATAGGCTATTAATACTAACACATTGACGAGTGCATTTTCCCTTTTGAAAAGAACCTTTTTTGCTGCACATTTTGAGGCCTTAGCTTAGAATATTTTCTAATTAATTCAATTGGATTAACACAAAATCCTTCATTTAACACTGTGAAGCTTCTTGGTTTGTTCGTTTTAGTATTTGAAATCATGATGTAGATATTTGGAATATTTTCAAGCTTTTTAGCCTTACAAGTCACTATATGAAAGTCGCCATCTTGAATTTTTGAAAAATAACTCCATACTCATGTCCAACGATGTCAAAGGCACCTATTCGGACTATTTGGGTATGAATTTGTCGTTAATCTAATTACTGTGAGAAGTTTATTGGACGATTCTTTATTTTTCTCATACTTCTAGGCGCCATATTATGTCCGCCATCTTGGATTTTGCAATAATTCTGCCAATTAGCACCTTAAAATACTTGGAAAAACAAATTTTTTAAGCCGAAAACCAGCTTCGTAGGTGCTCTCTAATTTTGGGCACAGGCTTGACCGATTTGACGTGGATCGTCCCATAGATACAAAATTTCAATTCGACATGTCTATTAATTTTTGAGATAAGTACTGTCAAAAATTCATGTTTATAGAAGAAAATGTATAATTAATGATTCGACAGCGACGTATAGTGATGGAACTCGTCAAATATGACAAGAAAAAATTATATTCAGCCTGAGAATGGTCGATTCATATTAACCGAATAGTATTCTTGCTATATCGCCGGATAAATCTTAGCGGCGTTTCTATTAAAGTTGATTCATCTCAATTATTCTATACGCTTTCAGGGAATCTCGTGATTAAGAGAAACGATATGATAATCATTTCATATTTGAATGGCTGGCCAGCCGAATTATGCCTATTGTTGAAATGTGGACAGTTTCCGGGATTCCGAGAATCTACCCGTTACTCTGAAATGTCGGATGTCAGCTTTTAATTTTTTTTGGCAAATCACCCAAACGTTAATGTATAAAACTGAAATTTAGGTGCCCACATCCTATCGGTCGTAAACATGTTTAAACAAGACCTATAAATACTGAAAGGCTGAGTTCTAAAGGATGGTTTACACAAAGCGATACTACGAACGACAGCGACATTAAAGCCTTCTGATTGACATATCAAGAACACTCTACCTAGTGATTGTTACAAATTTTCCCTATTTTGCCTTTGAAGGCCAGATATTGATTTGCTGCCTCTAAAAAATAGTAAAAATGGAATACTCGGGCTTATAAAAATTTAAAAAAATATATTTTTTATTGCAGCTTATGACTGCGAAGGGTATGTAGAAAGATAAAATCAAAAAACTAGCTCGAAAGAAGTGATGCAAGTTGGTAAATCGCAAATAAATGGCAAAATTACGTGTTTTTTCACTTTTTTACTGCCCATGATGATTATGTTGTAGGCAATTAAATTACCTACAATTTAAGATACCTAAAATCATATTTGTAACTGTAAAATAAAGGTCGAACGCGAAAAAATCAGTTTTCGGAAATTGTGCATTATTATTGCAAAAAGATTTTAAGAAGTTGATATTAAGTTGATCTTTATAACTAACAAAGTAAGATGTGCAAAACATGTCGCAGACAAAAGCCGCTCGGCAATTTCCTCTTTTTTCCGCGTTCGACCTTTATTTTATAGTTAACAAATTGGTGAAATATGACTTTAGGTACCACAAACTGTATATAATTTAATTGCCTTCAATATAAAATAACTCATTTTCCGATAGGTTGTCTAGATTTTATTATTATTATTATTATCATTATCATTATATTATTATATTTTTTAATTTTTCAGTTTTATGATCTAATTCGAATGGAGTAAAATTTAAAATTGTGCATATTTCGTGGTGAATAATTATGAAAAAGTCTAATATGGATTAGCAAATATTTTCATTGTTTACAAAATGAGTAATTATAAATTTTAAAAATATCTTCCTCAAAATCCGGCGACGAACGGATAGACAAAGCTTCTAATGGCATCGTTTACGGTCGTCCAGCTGCGTATTCGTGCCCCTAGTATAAATACGAGAAGCAAGAAACACAAAACAAAAGCATTCTTAAGAGACGTTTACATATTAATATTAATATTTACTTTTTTTAGATTCCCGGGACCAAAAATGTACTAAATCATTAAAAAATGTGCTTTATCATCGGAATTAATGTACACCAACTTACAAATTCCTTGGAAGGTAGATTAATAAGGATCCCTTCAGAGCGCATAAAGGGTTAAAAGTATAATTACGTGCTTTTTTAAGCTTTTTATAAAGCTGAGGAAAAAAATTGTAATTATAGGCGGGTTATATTTTAACATACTTTAAATGTAGCGCCTTCTGTTGCTGGATATAATAAATAATCACCTATATTCATTAATTTAGAAATTCTCTTTCTTGAACATAAAACATATACAGGCTTTCAGGCTATATAATTTTTTTAACCCTGTTTTACTGTATTGTATATATTCTTCTTTTGAATATTAATCATTCCCATTCCCCCGTCCTTCTCTGGCTCATTATACTCTCTCTTTATTTCTTTTATTTGTTTCATTTAGTTATACCCGACAGGACTACTTGATTCTGCGTCCTCTTTCAATTCCTCGCGTCTTTTGTTTTCCCTTCCACTCGCACTATCCTTCATTTAATCAAGCGGGCTCTGGAAATTCATTTGTTTTCTGTTTTGAATAAATGATAAATTAGTTATTTTCCGTTTTAAATGGTCTTTTCTGCCTTTTTTTGCGGCGGATTCTTTAATTTTTAATCAATACGTTCTCGACGGTCGGGCGAAGTTTCGTTTTCTCGGGCAGATGTTTTAATATCATCGCTTTTGTGTTGCAGTCTGCAAATGCCCTTTGGTGAGATAAAAATGCATAACAAGTTGAAAAACCGCGTGTTATCCCCGCGCCCCTTCTCTTTCTACCGGTTTTATAGCGGCGTTTAGGCGGCTCCGTTTCGAATGATACCGATAGGTCAGTGTCCATTCAAACAATTAATAATTAGCAGTCGAAAATTAATTAAGTATAGCTTCGCTCCAGACCGGACAGCAGTTTTAAATTTCCGAATTGCCGATAGAGTACACCACCAGTGGAATTTTAGGAAGAATCAAATGCAGCGGCCCGCATTCCTACGCGTATACTGGCAACATAGCAACAGTTTGGCAATGTTGTAGTACTTACGGATTTATTTTGTACACTTTTTTGTTAATGCCTGTTTTTCGCGTTACTGTATTTACTTAAATGTATGGATAAAAATGTTTTAAAGAATCAACGAATAGTTTCATATGATATTTTGCAGCGGTGTCACAGTTAGGTTATTTAATCATAATTTCGTTAATTAGCTACTATTTTCATTTTTTGGTATTGAAATACTGCAGAAAATATATTTCCAAATAAACAAAATTCGTAATGATATTTTAAATAACTTGTAATATAATTTTTTTAAATTTGATGATGATAAATTTACTTAATGTACCACTTATAAGTTTAAAAACAGAAAAAAAATGTATACTTGTACAAAAATGTACGACTTTTGCTTTATTTATTTTGACATCAAAATTTGCTGGCATAAAATATATGTTTAAAGTAAAAAAGTCATTAAAAAAATTAAAATACAGCCTTATCGAAATAATAAACAACGATTTTTATAACTTTTACAACAACATAAAGAGAATACCTAAAAGCGAAATAACATTAAAATACCTACAATTTTTACAAATTTTCAACATGCAAGTAATTGTGATGATACAGTTGCTTTAAAAACAAATTCAGAATTATCAAACATCTCGTCCTGCATTTTTTCTTTCAATACTTGTAAATTTTGAGGCCTTTAATAATAATATATTTTTTTGAAGTGTCCCCATACAAATAAGTTAGTCAAAAATTGCAACAGCAGTAGCGAACGCATTATCTTATCTCTTATTGATTGATGATTTGTTGTTTTTTTTTTAATAAATTTTGTATTCAAAATTAAGGTACTATCCGTAAGGAAATTTTACATATTTTATTTTTTTTTAATAAATCAATAATTAGGTAAATTCATAGTTTTAATTCTAACTTGATTTATTTTAGCATTTAACACAAATGTCATTTCCAAACAAATGTTAAGCTCCATATAACTCCTCAATTACGTAATTAAATGCATTAGATTTATTTGGCAGTTATTATTTGGCAACAAAGCCACCGCTAAACTGCGTCTTTAACGAATAGAAGAGTTACCACGCTAAATTTTATTACTGGATGCCGGCTAACAAGACCCTTCATCGTTTTTAGGATGCCAATTTCCAGCATTTAACGCGCGGTCTGAAGCGATAAGCTATATTGTCTGTGTACTGACAATACCTAAGTTGAGCATTGTAGTTTCTAATAATGTATCGTTGTTATTTATAAGTTTAGCGATGTTTAAAATTTCTAACTTTGAGAGTACATCGTTTGTCTGCATTTTACTCCGCTGATATTCTCGCCTTAAAACCTATCTATTTATAATACACAGAATATTTTTTTATACAGTTTTAAAGCTTTAATTAAATTTTAATAATTGTAACGATCACCTGTGTACATCTTAAGCTGTATTCTTTTGTTACAGGTAAAATATTCGAGAACCTCTCGCTGAACCCCTTGAAAAAGGAGGGTTCCCCGCCCTCCCAACCACCGACGCCCCCCTCAACCCCCCTCTCGCCCAAGTCCAACGACTTGACGAAAGCATCCAGTATTCCTAATTTTCCAAATCTAACCATATCGCATTCGCAATCTAGTCAAAAATTACCTCAGAATATACCCCTGAATTCCCAAAGCACGCCTCTGAACCTCGGTAAGAAGCATAAGTCGTACACCAACGGAGTAGGTCTGAACCTGTCTTCTCAATCGGATTTTCCGTACAGTAGTTCTGAGTTGGAAGCTATTAGGAATAAAATTACCGAGGACAGGATCCAGGAACAGAAGAACGCCATGAGTGGGAGGGTAAGTTGGTATTTTCGAAAAACTTACTATATTTATCCTCAAAATGTGAATCAGTTTGCTTCCTGCAACTAGTTTAATTTGTGTGCAGTAGAGCGACGGGAAAGCTAAAGTAGATATTTAATAAAAGTAAGAAACTATAATTAAATTATAATAATCAAATTAAATTAGGGTTTTGGGCATTGTCCTAAGTTGGCAACGCACCGAATCAGCAGAAGGAAACATATGTACATTCGTTGCTCCCCTTTTTTTTGTAAATCTAATTAGAAAAGGTGGATGCCTAACATGTCAGAGCTCCGGACGAGTTATAGTATTTTTTGTTGAACTTAAGGATATATTTCATATAAATATTAAATATCGTCACGCTATTTCAACATTATTCCAAAAATCGACTCGATTTTATTACGGGAACGTTTTTACCAAACATAATTTCGATGGGAGATTTTTTGTTGTTATTTGTAAACAATAATTACATCAACCGTACACCAAAACAGACGACTTAAATAGAATTAAAAGTAGCTTTGTGTCAAGATCTAAGGAAAGATAAGAAGTAATTGTTGTGTTCAATTTTGTTAAAAATCTTATTTTCTCTCATAGTTAATGTTAACTGTTCATTTCGAGTGGTAAAAAATTAATACACAGCTTATTGTTCATAATTTTAATTATTTTGCGCTTATTTTATTGAAAAATTGTGAGAATTAGGTGAAGATTTATTTTAAGGTATAATTAAAAGCTAGGCAGAAGATTCCTATCTTCCTTAACGGTGTGGCGAGTTTTCTCTGTTTAGAATTTTTTGTTGCCGGTAATCATGGGAAAATTAATTTATCTTAAAATACGACTTCCCTATGATTTAGGTGTTTCTAATTAGCCTGCGCTATCTTTTCCACAGATTTCACACAAAATTGCTGTAATATTTATCTTCGGAAAAGATTTTATCGACGAAGTTTATGTTTAGAAGTAGAAACCGACAAAAACTAGAAATAACAGACTGGTACTACGTTTTTTCCATGTAGATAAATGTTTTACACAAAAATATGTAGAAGTCGTCTGAAATTATGAACCTAGAACGAATTTTATATTCATGCGTAAAGTAAAAAGCAGCGCGTAAGTAAAATAAATCGTTTTTCATTAAAAATCTGTAAAAATGAATACGTTATCCTTTTTGTTTTTTAACTTTTGTATCTAGTGTAAAAAGAATAAGCTTTAACAGTAAATTACTTATGTTCTTGTTATTCTTAATAATATGGTATAAAAACAATAGCGTATGTAACATAGTCCGGACTATTTTTAATATTTAACGATTACGCTTATGTAAATGTAATATATTTACAGAATTTTTTAACTACAAATTTTTACTAAGTACGACATTTGTAATTTTGACCTATAGTGTGCAACCCAATTATGTGCGTAATGTAAAAACATGGTGCGTAGTGTAAATAATATAGAATATCTTTCTATAGTGCGATTTATTTACTGTCATACACTATACTTTCTACAAATGTCACACGTATCAAGCTACTTAGTGTTACGTACTCCATATTTAACATCACATTTTACGCACCTAACTTATTCTTTATAAGTTAGGACCTTTAAGTATCTGTAACAAGCCCATTTCATTATAATATATAGTAGAAATGTATTTCCAGCTGTTTTAACTGCAAAATCATGGCTAAATATAATAATTGCGATTTTAACAAATCTCTAATACAAATGTGTGCGTAATGTACAATAACCATGGTGCGTAATGTAAAATAAGCCTAGTGCGTAATGTAAAATAAGCCTAGTGCGTAATGTAAAATGGGCATAGTGCGTAATGTAAAATGGGCATAGTGCGTAATGTAAATACTATAGAACATCTTTCTGACTGCAATTATTTTACTGTTACTATTTTCTACATTCGTCACAAATATTAAATTATTCAATGTTGCCATTTTACATGCTTAATGTCACACGTTATGCACTAAACTTGAGAATAGGGACTTTTAAGTTTTGCAGCAGTTAATAAGAAAAAGGCAGAAAGGGCTAACACATCCTCGTCGGTATGTGCGTATTGTAAAATAACCATGGTGCGTAATATAAATTTTATACGTCCCTCTGAGTACGATTTTTTTACTATTTTATTTTACGTACTACTACATCCTTTACAAACGTTTAATATTACTCTGTACGGCGTAAAATTGTCAATAGGGACCCCATAACACGTATTTTTGACTAGTTTAACACAAAAATTACCTAGGGGAAGCTTATCTAATACAGTTTGTCGATTTTCAATTATTCAATATATTTCAAATTATTTTTTTCTTGTAGGGCATTTTCCCCGCAAATATTCTTCCATTTTCTCAAGTTTCAAAGACTGAACCTTCCAGCCCCCCACCACTGGAACCGAGCCCGTTGAATGGTAAGTTTTTGCAGCGTATTTTACAATATTAAATTGATGTGTTCCACAAGGTGTTTATCTCTCGATATATGATGAATCAGTGAAGTAAATGGAAGAACGACGCGTCTATTTCTGTGATAAAAAGTTCAAATAGTAGTTGATCCCGAATGATGAGTTGCTAATTTCCAGGATTCTATGGTCTTATTGAACAATTTACTCGTTTCTTGTAAAATTGCAGGGCACATATGTGTGTTCCAACGGTATGTAAAGCAGCGCGGATAAAAATGCGGAATAATAAAAGTCGTAGTAAATATAGTTTATCGTTGATACTTGAAACTAGTTTTGCTAGGAAAAATAAAATAATGCACCAGATTTTATAGTATACTAAATCATGTTTTATTATATTCGAACGTTCGATACAATCTTCTCGGTTATCTGATGGAAATTACAACAAACACTGTCAACGGCTTAAATTGTATTGTTTTCGAGATGAAATTTAGAGAATCACTTAAATTGGTAGACATTTTAACTGTGTGACTAAATTAAATCATGTCACAGTCAATTTAGAGCAATTTAACACATGTTTTTCTTCATTTGTGAACGTTTTTGTTTTTTTTTCTCGATGTACGCTACGGGACCGCGGCAACGCACAAGATGTTTTCTTAAGGTCAATTTTGTGGGACGTGGAATATTTCCACTGATATTGCAAGTGGAACCTTTTTCCAACAAAACAATATATTTATAAGCGCGATTTTATTTGTTTTTTTTTTGTCTTTTTCGCCAAAGCGCACAAAAAACCTAACTAACACTTAAACACTTGAATAACAATATCAGGAAAACTAAATAGTCCAGGCGATAGAGCAGTAAAAGTAGGCTTTGGCGTGTTGTGTTTGAAATCATCTATTTTGTTGCACAGAACATTCCCAAATATTATGTAAAATAAGAATCCGACTTTGCACATTCCAAAAAAACTGCTAAATTCAGAGGAACAACAAACATACAAAAAGAACGAAAAATGGCCTGTTTTTCGATATATTTTTCCCTGTAACATTGAAAGTTAGCCCTAAATAAAAAAAGTCAATCTTTCTTTTTTGTTTATTTGGCGATTTTCTATGAAGTTACAATAACTGCAAATAAAAAAGTTGAATTTTGCATTAACAATGGGCGAAAAATACTAGAAAATCATATGTATATTTGGAGCAATTTTTAAAATAAGTAAATATTTATAAATATTGATGAAACTTGTGATCAAATAGTAAAACATATGTCAATTCCACCCTAAAAATTCACAAATTATTTTCAAATTATTATTTATTGTTAAAAGATTTAAAAAGAATAGAAAGCATTTAAATTTATGGCAAAATTCTCAATTAATAAATAATAATTAAAATAATGCAGTCGATAAAATTACAATTATAACTTCTTGAAATTTTAACATATAAAGTTTTTTATTATATTTATTACTAATTTTATACAAAAAAAATTTTGCAACATAATCGAAATTAAAAAAAAATATTAATCACAACCAGTTTGATATAATGCAATATACTTAATACAACAATTTAAAATTTAAAATTTTTTCTATTTTTATGAGAAATAATAATTTGAAAACAATTTGTGAATTTTTACTTTAAATTTACATTTAAATCGTAATTAAATAGGTAACAAAATATTGAAAAAATAAGTTTACTTTGGCTTAATAATAATTTGGCTTAATAATATGTAAAAAAAATAACTTTAAATGAACAATAGCTCCAGTTATTTATTTAATAATAGTAAAATAATTCCGAAATTGAAATTTTAATTAATATTTTGTTTAACAATAATTTTTGTGACATGAAAAAAATTCAGTATAAAAGATACATTTTTTCTGGGGTTCAGGGCTATTCTACGAATTCGTAAATATGCCCATTGTTATTTTTTCATCGAGCTACCCCAGTTTAAAAAAAAAAAGTTTCTACGATGAATAGAAGCCGAGATATTGCAAAATTTTACAGCGCGCATCAATCTGAACTTTTCTCGCGCGTGCGACACGCTTGGACAAGCTTCCCCCACCACCACGCCGGACAGTTTACTTAGCAAGTACCTTCTCTTTAAAGGGCTCGTGAGTCGTTAATTTTCCCCATTTTTTAATGCAATTCACGGTAAATCGTAGTTTACGTCGTAAACTTTATTTTGCGAAAAATTCAAGTCTTAATGTNTGAGTCGTTAATTTTCCACATTTTTCAATGCAATTCACGGGAAATCGTAGTTTACGTCGTAAACTTTATTTTGCGAAAAATTCAAGTCTTAATGTTTATAAACAATTGTGCTACGATTTTTTTTTAAATTCTTATCTTGGCTCCTGTTGGTCGTGGAGGGTGCTTTTTTAAATTTGTTTTCTTTTTGCCAGCTATCCATTGAATCTATTTTCGGTGAGGTAGCATAAATAGCAACAATTTTATTCAAATTGTTTATAAGCGAAAAACGCACGGTTTTTTAATGCTCAATTTGAGAATGTTAATATCAAAAAAACGGTTATATTTTTTAATAGGTCGCTTAATTACTTCTTTAAGATTACAATACTTTCAGAATCATGTTTGGTTGAAAATTAACGCCTGTACAGAGGCTTAAAGTTCATAACTTTTGGAGCCTATGTTATAAACAAATTGAATTGTGCGAAAACTATTGCACCTACAGCGCCCACTTTTGGAACACTTTTAAAATATGACAAAACCCTCAACTTGTCATAGGTTTTATAAAATTTTAACAACAAATGCGGTAGTTATAAACAAATTAAAAAATGGACACTTTTCTTGTTTTTTTTGCAATAACTTTTTGTTTAGTAACCGATTTTAATTTAACAAGTCTCATTTTGTAGATAATTTTATTCCCTACAAGCTGTCTATGAGTAACTTTTCTCTAAAATTGATGGTTTTCCCTGCAAAGTGAAAAAACTGTTTTCCTCACTTATTTGTTTAAATAGAAAAGTAGCTAATACATTTTTTGAATTCACGAGATGAGAGATGTCTTGTATTATGTTCCTTTAGACAATTTTACAATAATATCGCGGATAGGATTTTTTCGAGTTTCTCTTTGTTTTCGCTAATTTTCCTGGTCTACAAACACATATCGCTAAATATTGCCATTAGCGTGTATTTCAAAAAGTTCGATTATTTTCTGAAGAGACCTCGTATACCAAAATTTTAAATAAATAGTTGGAAACATTAGAGAAAGTATTCAAAAGTGTGGTGAAATTTCTCAACGAGTACGTCTAAATTATTTATACTCGGTACTCACCGGCACTCCGAAGATGTGGTACCAGCAGAAATAATAAATTATCAACATAATTGACGTAAATACTTCCACCTCTTTTATTCCTCTAGCCGTAATGGCCCCTAAATTCTATAGGTGTTATTTGTCAAAATTAAAAATAAGCGTTTAACACGAAATATTTATAACCAGATGTCACAGCCGCCGACTAATTAGTACTAAGCGTCCGTAACAGAATCAACAATATATTTATTAAAAAAATACAAATATTAATATTTCCACGGGGTCCTAACAGGCTTATGAATTATGTATGTTACGGCCAATGCCACACTACTAATGTTGAAATACAGTTCTGAATATTTTAAGAGATCCGTCCAATAAATCATAACCCGAATTTATTTCCATTAGCAACATTCCGTGTATACCTAGCACAATGGTACGTGTTTGATCAACTTGTAAGGTACGAGAGGAGTGTGCGGCGCTGGTGACTTCTATTGTGGGGGGATTATCCAGATATAGGTCCTCCGTACGGTCTTCTTACAAACGGATAAAAATTGTCCAAATAAATATCCGTGTCGAAAATGACAGTGTGATGTCGATTAATATACTTGTTACTATCTTACACCCACATTTTCCAGTAACTTGCGGTAAAAATAAATGCAGTGCGATGCAACAGTACCTACTCTGTATGTTACAGTTTGTTTAGTACAGGATGCCACAAACTCGATAGTATGGGCCTACTGTGAGCATACAAATAAAATTTAGGACACGTTGTGTTAAATGGGATGGATAAGCTCAATTTTCAATCGAAAGTATTATCTTTTCTTTTCTGTATAGTACATACTTCCCATTTAAAAGTTATAAGCAATATCGTCCTAAACAATCTCAGAAGAAATACCACCTAAAAATCACGTTTACGGTGGAAAGATCAAGTAGCCGTTGGAAAATAATTGAATGTTGGTTGTTTAAAGTGCATCAATGTCATTAAGAATGAATAAAAGGATTAAACTCGATAATTCTTAAACTAAAAAAATGAGCAAACGCTTTCATACTACACATATCCAATCTTCGTCTGACTTCTTTGTGGGCTGCGTTTATTAACATTTCGCCGTTTAACTTATTACAATCGTTTGTGATTTTTTCTTCCAAATGATTAATTAATATCTCGCGAAGGTGTTTTGTAAACCTGACTTTCCGGGCCACTGAATAGGTCCATTCAGCCCAATTCACTTTTCTGGGAAAGTGTTATCTAAATGTTACTGCACAATCCTGGCCTTTTGGGGTGGAGCCCCGTCGCCGTCGTGCTGACACAATACCATAAGGTTTCCTCTTAGCTGCAATGGCACATTCTCCAGAAGTGCACTAAGTTCTTGTAGGAAATTTAGGCAACTCACGCTGTTCAATGTATGTTCATAAAAATAAGGCCTAATTAAATGCCTACTGATGATGCCGCATTTACTCCAAAATGGCCTTGGGTTTAAACTGGATTTACAATGTGGGAATTTTCAATGGACCAGTAGTGCGCCTGTTTGGCAAACCATTACTGACAAACCAAGTTTCGTCCGTCCAAAGAACGTGCCAAAAAAGGTTATGATCAACAGTTTCTACATTTACTACAATTTGAGCTATAAAATTGTGTGTATTTTCAATGTGACGCTCAGGCAAATACTTCAAATTGTGAATTTTGAAATCATGACACCCATTGGTCTTTAAATTTCGTTGAACGGCTGATTTATCCAAATCCAATTCCCGGCTAGTCTGCCGTCTAG